ACATGTCGGCCATATTGGATCCACCATTTTGAATTTTGAAATTATGACGTCAGATTCAAAGTTTGCGGCTCAAATATGTTATAAATATTAAGTTTCATGAAAATCTAATGTCTTTTCAATTATATATGTCGGCCATATTAGATCCGCCATTTTGAATTTTGAAATTCTGATATCAGATTCAAAGTTTGCAGCTCAAATAAGTTATAAATACCAAGCTTCATGATAATCTAATGACTTTTTAATATATATTTCGGCCATATTAGATCCGCCATTTTGAATTTTGAAATTCTGATGTCAGATTCAAAGTTTGCGGCTCAAATAACTCAAAAATACCAAGTTTCATAAAATTCTAATAACTTTTCAATAGACATGTTGATCATATTCGATCAAACTTGAATCACTATGCAATACAGATACGTTTACTCTACCGTATGTCACATTACGGCCTGAAGTCTCAACTAAAATTTAAAAAAAGATCATAACTCTGGATTGTTAAAATGGATTTCAATTATCCAAACGGGATACAGCGTGTCGTTAGATAAAGAATTTAAAAAATAAAACTATCAAAGGAATCTATTTTTTAGTACTTTTGCCGGAAAAATAAATAAAACGCACCATAATCTTCAAAACTTCGTAGCTGTTTTAATAATGAATATTTCGTGTTAAAACTTTTTTTCATTGTAGATCTCATGGAACTCTACAAAAAACATATAAAATATTTCTGTCGAAAGTAACAACCCATTTTTTTGAAACTGAATCAAATATTTTTTCAAGAATTCGCAAATCGAAATCTAAAATTGTTCACAAAAATTATTTTTTACTTCGTCTGGCAAAATGAAACATATTTCGTGAAATAATCTACAGGAGCAATTTCTATTATATATGAAAAGAAAAATTCCTAAAGGAAAAAAGAAATGTGGTTCGAAAAAAGTGATCCTTAAAAATAATGAAAAAGTGATTTTTAAGAAACAAATTAAGTTTTTTTAAACGGAACCTTATAAAATTTCATCTACATATAAAAAGACAGAATTTGTTTACAGAAAATTATCGACCTATACGTGGTCGTTTATTTTAATACGAACCGTTTAATTGGAGTTTGTAGTCTAAACAAATGGGTTGATTCATAAATGACTTGCGCTACAGGTAACAAATAATTATGCTTTCAAGGAACTCCCAGCAGGTAGCAATTTCCAATTTGCCTGCGAAATGGGAACAAGTGACAATCAACGATAGTGATTATACATGTAATTTTAAGATTCATTATACACTACTATATATATGAATAAATTGCAAACTAATAATCTGGCAATCATACATTTATTTTTACTGCTTTTATGCACAGTATGCATTTTTGTATAAGGCAAAATTTATTACATTAATAAATTACATTATTTAAAATCACTTTTAAATTTCAATCATACTTCATCCCCATTGAAACCTTCGTCTTTATTTAAATTTCAAACCCAAAATCACCAAGAATTCATCGAACGATTTACCAACACGCAACAATATCGTAGCAACGCAATTTAATGGTTCATCGTATTATCGCGAGATAAATTGCAAGCGACCAGAATCGCGCTCCAAATTCCGCGCACGAATAGTTGCAGTAATATTTTACGAAATTTGTTACATCGCGCATGCATATTCGAGCGTCACGAATCGTTTGAAACGCGTTACTATTAAACGCGATAGAATTGCGTAACGCACCCGAACAATTATCGACTTCGCAGCTCGCATAGCCGGAGCTACAGCGGAATTTCATATAGAGCCGGTCGAGGAAAACTCGAACCATGCAAGTTACAGCCTAAGAGTTAATTAAAAGATCTTTTAATTAAGTCTCTGCTGAGCGGGCTCAATACAACGCCGCGATTCCCTTCCCCGCACTTCTTCTTCCCCTTCCGGAATCGAATAAACCTGATGTCGGGATTTCATTCAAAGAATTGTTATGCGCTCCCGTGATTTCTGAAATTTTATAGAGATTAAGTCGTTGAATTTAATGCCAGCTATTCGCCAGACGTGAATTTCATTGACAGATTATTTTTGTAATTAATCGGATTTTTCTACGTTCTCTCCTTTTCTTTCTCGTCTTTCACTGTTTTGTTGTTGTTGTTTAAGTTATTTATTGCGTGAATTCCTGACGAATTGTTTGCAATTTTTAATACAGTAATTTGCATCTTTTATACAAATATATTTACATTTTCACATTTTTACGGAACAAATGATGTACATTTACTAAAATTGCTGTTTTATTTTACGAGTAACGCACATTATATTATACAGGATGTCCCAAAAATGTTGTTAAACATTGAAAGAGAAGATTCGGGAGGTGATTTGAAACAACTTTTTCCTTAGCGAAAATGTTGTACTAGGCCTCGTTGAGGAGATATTAACATAAAACACTGACCAATCAGCGGACGCTAAATTGGCATACTAGCGCTCTGATTGGGCCCGAGGTTTTCTGTTAATATCTCCTCAACGAAGCCTCGGACAACATTTTCGCTAAGGAAAAAATTGTTTCAAATCATCTCCCGGATCACCGCTATCAAGCTGTTACAACATATTTGGATCACCCTGTATATACAGAGTAGAGGTGATTTGAAACAACTTTTTCCTTAGCGAAAATGTTGTCCGAGACTTCGTTGAGGAGATATTAACGGAAAACCCCGGACCAATCAGAGCGCGAGTATGCCAATTTAGCGTCCGCTGATTGGTCAGTGTTTTATGTTAATATCTCCTCAACGAGGCCTCGTACAACATTTTCGCTAAGGAAAAAGTTGTTTCAAATTACCTCCCGAACCACCCCTTTCAAGCTGTTACAACATATTTCGGACACCCTGTATATACAGAGTAGAGGTGATTTAAAACAACTTTTTCCTTAGCGAAAATGTTGTCCGAGGCTTCGTTGAGGAGATATTAACGGAAAACCCCGGACCAATCAGAGCGCGAGTATGCCAATTTAGCGTCCGCTGATTGGTCAGTGTTTTATGTTAATATCTCCTCAACGAGGCCTCGTACAACATTTTCGCTAAGGAAAAAGTTGTTTCAAATCACCTCCCGGACCACGCCTTTCAAGCTGTTACAACATATTTCGGGCACCCTGTATATACAGAGTAGAGGTGATTTGAAACAACTTTTTCCTT